GAGAGAGAGAGAGAGGGAGTGAGAGAGATTTCAAGATGATTTTATTGATTCTAAAGGCCCTTGGTCCACATATTCGCACATAACAGAACATGACTGGGCAAATACATAAATCGGTGCTGCACATCTGATAAACAAATATAATGAGTGAGGGAACACTATAGGAGAAAAAATAAAAGAGAAAAAGAGAAGGAGAGAAAAAGAGAATGAGAGAGAAAGAGAGAGAGAGAAAGAGAGAGAAAGAGAGAGAGAGAAAGAGAGAGAAAGAGAGAGAGAGAGAGAGAGAGAGAGAGAGAGAGAGAGAGAGAGAGAGAGAGCAACAATTAATTTAGTTTGCGGGGTCGGAGGCAGGTGAGGGGTGTGGTGTGAGGTGGGAAGGGTAGGGGAGAGAATAACAATGGAACTCGAGGACGCAGTCACAGTAGCCGTGTAATAGTTATTGGTGTCCGCAGATATGTAAACAGTTGTCCAAGTCTGCAATCGTTTGACTTGCAGAAAATAGCCCCCCCCTGTGTCAATATACCAGGGCGTGAAAGTCCTAAAATAGCTCAGCTGACGACAATGTGACGTAACTGACATGTCCAGTAATGTGATCAGGGAAACAATCCCCCGTGCCAGTTTGAAATACGATCTGTGCCAGGCGTCTGCAGATTGTCGTTGCCCTAGAATTACAAAGTTCTATCTGCTCAGTATCTAGTTTTGAGAAAATAGACGTAGAAATTTTCGAGTTTCACTACTACATATGTCAAGCTTTTTCGAATGCAATTTTTTGAATATCTTGACAACGACTCCGAATAATCTTACAATTTTGATAGAGCAGAACTCAAAACGGCCAAAAAGTGTCAGATAGAAATGTGTAATTCTAAGGTAGCATTGCGCCAACTGCCAGCATGGTTGTGTAGTGACGTTTTTGTAACTGCAGACTTTAACCAGAGAGTTTACAATAATACTATTACTGTAAACCCTCTCTGCTTTAACATGCTGAAACTCAGAGAGAAACCCGCAAGCTGTGGCAAAAATTCACAGGTGGAGAAATGAAGCTCATTTAAAGTCTACAAACGTGGTAAATTCTTCTCTGCCAGAAATGGTCTCAATTACCGTAGCAGATGTTCCAAGTTGTTTTTAATATACATTTTGTTTCGTCTATTTCACTTTGGAAATAATATTCTCTGTGGATGCATTGGCCATCGTAACACATTGTCGGAAGAACTTTTGTTTTTATTTTTATAACTGCTGATACAAAAAAGTTGGAGCTGGCATGACGTTATCTCAGTTAGTAAAATGCTGGATTATAATGGAGATGGACTAGGTCGGATTCCCCAAAAGGGCCTTCTTGAAATTGTCTTGTCTAGGGAGTTTTCAAGGCTCTCTATTATTTTTGTTTGGTCCAATTTGAGATGGACCTTATATTCGGAGGACGACTGGCCCACCAAGAAAACCTTGAAGCTTCGAAAGCGGCCTTAACAACTTAAATTACCATAATTAATTATATTTTAATATATCAGGGATACGCATGTCTTTAATACCCGAGGCCAAAATGGTTATATAAAGTATTATTTGGTCTCTTTTAAGCACTAGGGGGCTATCCCGAAAAATGCTGTTTTGTGAAAATCGAAGTTTAAGTTTTTGCCCCTTGTTCAGTTTCTCAGAGAGACAAGGAGAGTTTTCTCTATAACCAAACAAATATGCACACCAATGAAACTAAACTTCTCCTATAGGTAGGGCAATACCCACTTTTGGTGTAGATCAATATTTCTGGAAACCCCCCAAAAACTGGGTGAGTCCGCTTGTCTTTAAAAAGGACCATTTATAACCTCTTTCCTCGCGACTTTGCGAATAAAATTTTCCGTGGACAAGGCGAAAGGTTAATCTTGAAAATTCTTCAGCGTGCAAAGATTATATTTATATATTTTTTAAAAGCACAAACTGCCAGGAGTCTTTGATAACCGACAGTGTTGTTTTTTTTGGTGTTTTTTTCTTTCAGAATTCATTATTGTTTAAAAAAACCCCGCAAACATTGTACGACGCACGCTTGAGCTGAGCTGAATTTCAAAGTGTTAATGCGGGTTCAGTGAGGAGAAATAAGACAGTTTTAGTGTTAACTCACCACGGAGTCCCGACGACTTGGCCTTGATTCCGAAGCATTTCTTTCAGATCTCATTCAGTTTGTTTTGGGGAAGTATCTGAAGAACTTGATTTGTCGAGGGGAAATTGGACGTTTGAATCCAACATTAGTCCGATTTTTGTTTTTCTTCCTATGTAATGGCTTGAGACTAAAGGCTTTGTCATCATCATCATCATCGTCATCATCATCATCATCATCATCATCATCATCATCATCATCATCATCATCATCAATAACAAGAACAAGAACAACAAAAACAACAAGAACAAGAACAACAACAAGAACAACAACAACACACCAATGAGGAATAGAACCAATTATGATAGCAGCAATAATCACGACTCCTTTTGGCTCACGAATTGTCAACACTAATAAAATATTTTGGTTAATCGTTTGAAAAAGTGAATAAAGCTTTGCACTCCTGGAGTAACCAGGATGCCCGAATGTTCTGTGCTTATAAACAGTTCGAATTATATTCTCGGTAAGAACATAATTTCATTAATTTAATTGTTTAGTTCTTAAGGGAAAATTGAGGGAAAGCGAGGCATGGGTAAGCCCAGAACAGCATACTTAGGGAACCTAAACAAATGGGCAACAGGGAAAGATCAGGGAAATGTAGCTTTCTTGAGAGCATCCGAGCAAAGGAATGAATGGTGAACCATGATCGCCGATGTCTGTCGCAGATCTGGAGCTGGATGATGATGATGATGAGTTCTTAAGGTTATTTGTCTTCACTAAGAGCCAAAGAGGTGGACATCTCTGTTTATACCTACCTATTTTTGGTGAGAAAATTCTTGCTGCAAGCGTGCGTAGATACGATCCTCTCTTGATTTTTGTGAAATTCCAAAACGACTTTGTCTTCTATTAGTAATCTGATATTAGATAATGCACCGCCGTCCCCTCCCTCCAAACCCCAAATGTCTGAGGCCACGTTTTGTTGAAAATGTCGTGGAGGGAGCACTATGTGCAGTTATTGACGGTTTTCTACTGTGGCCTTCTTTTGAGAGAGACAGAAAGAAAGAGATAGATAGATAGATAGATAGATAGATAGATAGATAGATAGATAGATAGATAGATAGATAGATAGATAGATAGATAGATAGATAGATAGACAGATAGTTAGATAGATAGATAGATGGATAGATAGATAGATAGATAGATAGATAGATAGATAGATAGATAGATAGATAGATAGATAGATAGATAGATAGAGAGAGAGAGAGAGAGAGAGAGAGAGAGAAAGAGAGAGAGAGAGAGGGAGAGAGAGAGAGAGAGAGAGAGAGAGACAGAGAGAGAGAGAGAGTGACGGGGGGGGGGGGGTTGTTAAAAGATTGAGGTACAAAGGGGAGAAATTGAAATGTAATAATCTTTTTTGTCTTTAATTTCCTTTTGGCATATTCTTTTTAAATACCAATTAATGCTCTGTGGTAATCAATATTGATTTTACCTTGTTGTTCTGCTAAGAGAGCGCAATAAGAGATCATTGTGTCTACTTAACACGGCTTCTCTTTATTGCCTGACAGTAAAGATTACATGAAAAACTTCTTAAATGGAGAACCCAACTATTCAATTAATCTTTTCTATATTTATCGACACTGCCTACAAAGTTGTAAGAGATTTCTTGTATGGGGCTCTTGACCAATTAATTAATCGTTCCTATTTCTATCAATGCGAGCTGTGAGGCCAGTTTTAGTAAATTAGTAAAGACGTTTGGCTAATACTTAACCCCCCCCCCCCCCCCACACACACACACAACAGAGCTTTTGTTTACGAGCATAGCATCGAGAACTACATTTATAGTTATAGCTTCAGTGTCGTGTTTGGGTCTCGGCCAGATTGTAAGTGGTATAATCGCAAGGTGAAAGCTTTCAGAGTCTTTGTTGTGTGTCAATGTTCGTCAGTGGCGGCAGTATTTGACCATTAGCTGACCCCTGAAGGATTAGTCAAACCTCAAGTAGATGCCTTACTGTTAGTTGATGTGTTATCTTGGCTCAAGAAAAAGAGAAATACTATCTTTTATATTTGTTCGAATTCTACAGTCATCTTGTCCTACTATGATATGTTGGCCCTCAATGGTATAACGAATCAGTTTAAAAAAAAATTAATTTACAGGTCATGCTACTTCGGTGCCAAGGGAAATATTCTTTTTAAAAAGTATTTTGGTTTTATTTTGTATTTTGGGGGATTTTTATTCTGTCTACATTTAGTCACTATCAAGTCATTCAGACACCCAACACCGACGTATGTGGTGTAGCAGTTAGGCACTTCACTGTCGCACCGATGAGATCCGAGTTCGATTCTCATGTGGGGAGAATTTGCATCGAGTGTCTCAGTCTTTCTGCTGGGGTTTTATGTCCCTCTCAACCTAGGTTACCCTTGACAGGTTGGGTCAAACCCCACGTCCGCAAATGTTCTGTAATGTGTCCATGAGAGCGTACAAACACCTACATTGAAATAAAAAAATACCTAAACTTTTCTAAATATTGTTTTTGCTTTTTCTTTCTTTTCAGGCTTGAGACTGCAGGAGATCCAAGAGACATCAAGAAAAAGGAACAAGACACCTCCAACATAAGAAAAGAGAATATCGTAAAACTCTTAAGCACACATTACAAAAAATGGCACGACGTTCCTTTTAGCGTGATCCATTAGTTAGAAAGCTGATCATCCTCAAGAAAGAAAGACTTCGCTATGTACGCACGCGCAAAACATGTTTTGCAGTCAGAACACATTATGACCTGGTCACTTTTCTAAATCTAAATTCAATATTCAAGCATTCTCTAAAGCCTAAGGATCGAGCATTTTCAAAAGAATCGATCAATTTCATAAAGTACAATTTGTTTTGGGGAAACATTTTATATCGTGTTGAATAATTAGAGCGACCAGTAAGCCTTCAAAGATGTGGTAAAAACTGTGAAATGACGCATAGGTGGAGCAGCATGTAGCTATGTGCATTAAAGGGAACAATTACTCAAACATATGGTAAACGTACAGACTTCCTTGTAAGGATAAGTCAAGGTTATAAAGGAAAATGTCCAGCAGAGTGGACAACTCTCAGGAGAAGGAGAGCGGGCGAGAGGAGAAGTCGAACAAAAAGTCGAGTAAAGATGAAAAGAAGAAGTTTATGAAACAAGTCGAGGAATTCAAGCTCTGGAATGACCAGGAGACTTTTCAGGTAAGACTTTTAACTCTTACAAGTCGTAGGCTTTTCCCATACTTTATAGTTTTAATGAGAGTTTTACGGCACTTACAACACAATAAGGTCATATAAGTGCTGAAGATTATAGGTGTTGCACAAACACAAAAAGGAGGAGGAGAGGTCAGGACGATAGATGTTTTATAGAAGGGAAGGAATGAACCACACCAGAGGACCTGCCAACCACCTGCCTTACTTGCTTTATATATATATTTCATATTTCAAACTAACCTTGCTGCTATATATATATATATATATATATATATATGTAGCAGCAAGGTTAGTTTGAAATATGAAAACGTTTGCATTTTCAGCATAATACAAAATAGGTTTTAAGCCAGAATAAAGTATTACCGGCTAAAGTTGTAAGAAAAACATTGGAGATTTGAAACAATAAGAAGATAAAGTAAAAATATAGACAAGCAGACATTTTGACAAGTGAAGAAAACAAGAAAACAAATAAATGCAGCAGTAGATAATAATCAGTAGATGTACCGACTTCTAAGAGTTTAAAAGAACTTCTAGAGAATGTGCTCTATCTGCCAACATGCCTAATATAGAAGGCTAATTGATAGAACTAATTCGCTGCATTTAGTTTCATAGGGATTTTTACTTGTCTTGACCTATATTTTTTCTTTCGCTGTATCTTCTTTCACTGCCATCTATCAAAAGAACTAAAGAAAACTGAAACTCTTAGTATTAGCGGCATCTTACGGCTGTTTATAGTAGTAACAAAACTGCTAAACTCAAGCAAATCGACCATATTAATTCATAACTAAACAACCCAAAAGCGACAAATAAAACAAAAACAAAATAGAACAATCACATAACGACAACAAATTAGCCGTTTTCAGTCGTAGGTGGCGATCAATAACAACGATTCCTCTTTGCACTCTTTCCTTTAAATTCTTTTTTAGGGAGGGAGGTGATCTTGATGTTTGTTGTTTTGGTATTTTTAGCTCTTTTGTTTTAATTAAAGATCTCCAGCCTTCTTTTTGGAGGTTGTGAGACCTCAGTACTTGTCATTCGTGGTGCAAAACTCAAGTGTTCTGAAAACTGCCTGGGGATATTAATAATACTTTCTTGAAAGTATTACTGATCTTTTCCATTTGGAGATTAGGGTCTCAGAGTTTTCATTCATTCATAATCCAATAATATCAATTATTTCGACAGCTAGAAATGGTGGACTTTATATATAACTGTAAGACGTACACGTATTTTCAATGTATTAGTCTCGAAATTGTCGTCAGCATTTCAGTGTGTTCTGTGAAGAAGACAAAAATCTTAAATTTAAATTTATTCTGCAGGATAAAGAGTACGAACGACGGAGGTTGGAGAAAGGGAAATGGAAAGACCTTCTGAAGTCAGATCAGCGCCTGCAGCGTTGCAAAAAATGCTACTTACCCTCAGTCATTGCCATAGTTGCAGGGGTTTCCCTTATCCTCTGTAGCAGCCTGAATGGGATAGCCGACAATAGCATCTTCAGCGAACATCGGCGAATTTTCCAGGCCGTAGGTGGGGCAGTGAGCTGCCTGGGCCTGATTGGCCTCATGATGACGGCCGCATACACGTACAGGAGGGAAGATTTTGTCAGAAAGAGATACGGTTTCCCTTCCTTGTTCGAGGCGTCTCGCAACGGCACTACCTCTTCTTCGTGGATCAACGAAAGCTTTCTGATACAGAACGAATTCGTGGACGTGCGCTCAAATGGGAGTGCCTCTATCGCCGGGAAATCTGTGTCGCGCATGACGTCCATCGAGTCAGCAGAATCTTCGGTGGATTTTCTCGGTGAGAGCTTCTCTTCCACAGGCACGGCGGTTGCATGGGTGAATAAACATTCGGTGAGGTTCCAGAGAACATCATCTCTTCACCGGCGACAGAACAGTGACACAGCTCTCAACAACTCCTTGGCTATCTCAAGAATCTACTCCTGGGAACAGGAAGCCAAGCGCGATACAGCCAACTCGGAGCGCGCAGAAATTCACACCACTGGACCTGGGTATGACCCGTGTTCATCTCAGGACCGCTCAATTACCTCTTCGTCATCTGGCTACCAGAGCAATGTTTCGTCACCCGATGCCTTGACCACTCAGCCTATATTCCTGGAAGAAAATTCTACCACTCTGGTAAAGGATAAGGATGTGGAGGGAAAGGATTTTGGAACTAACATCAAGTCCTGCATCGTCTCCTCTGACACCAGTAAAGACGTAAATCTTCCTCTGATTGCCGAGAAAGGGAATAACACTGGGCGAAGCGTGAAATTCAAGGCGTAAAAGACATTAGTCATCAAGCAGTCACCTAAAATTTCCACATCAAAATAGTGGATAGTGGCAGTTACAACTCTTCCAGACACTCATCACTGCGACTTCGTTGGTTGTAGGTATCAAATAATCTTTCATCGTTAAGTCATGACAATGTCTTTTTTAGACGATAATTTGTTTTGGCATCGTAACAGTATAGACTGTTTGAAACTGAGCGAGAACGTTCGGGCTCGGCCAGCTGATGCTCACTAAAAGGACAGGCTTGAGCGTATCTTGTCAATAGCAAAAGAGTTGCCGATCCCTGCCGGTAGAAGAATGCAGTGTTGCTGTTGGTATTATCTCTCGTGTTATGATGTTAACATTCTAATTCAATTGGTGCTATAATTTGCAATTCAGTTTCACACGTTAACTTCTGTCTTGTTTTTTGAGTGCATTATTCCTATGGTTTTGAAGCGATTACAACTTCATCTGAATTAACAATCATCTACTTAAATTCTGCGATTTGGCAAAGTATGATTATTAATTCATATAGTTCAAGTATGGAGCTCTTTAATTTTTTTAAAATTATGTCCCTACAGTTCCCTAAATTTTGCCCCGGATACCGTTGACTTCTACGAGTCGTCATTGGTAAAAACAATTCGTCGGCATTCTTTTCAACTGATCTAAGCCTAGCAAGACATTTTTAAAGGAGAGAACAAAAATTGTTTAATTCCTTTAACCTACATTATATATTTGTTGTTGGTTTTTTTTGTGCAACAATTAGAATTTAGATTTTAACAAATAAATATTTATCGAGAAGATGCAACCGAATTCACAAATTAAACACTGCTAAAAATAAAATAAAAATTGGGCTTAGTATATATCTGAACAGCAGCTAGCCAACAAATTCCGTCTTTCTGTGCGATGCTATACGCCTGCCTGCATTATCACAGGCTCCTCTTTTCAAAACAAGGTGTGTGTTGCTAGGGCTGATTCATGCTGCATCGAGGAATAAAAGACACGCTTCTCTGACTGTCTGCTCAGACAATAAAACCCCTTTAGCTTCTTCACATCTGTTGGGTTCGTCGTAAAGTTATTCTAAATATTGTTTTCATTTATACATTTCTTCTACAAAGGCAAATACATCAACATGTTCTCTTTGTACAATGACTATGTTTATGAAATTTCAGCTCACATTGAGAAAAAGGAAAGAAAGTAGATTTTATATTTGTGTATACATACAAAAGCTAAGAATGCCATCTAAGGTTGTACTTCATTGATTTTAAGAAATATTCCCAGTTCTTAACTTTGAATTGTTTACTTTCCTGTTTGTGAAAAGGTCAGCTTATGATTTGTCGATGCTTTGATTTCTTCTGTTTCCTTTTTTTTCATAATGATCTGATTTGTGTATAGAATTCCAAAAGAGGATCATGTTGATACTCTGTGAAACAATGTATTTGTATACTATGGAACTAATAATATTTTCCGTGATATAATCAAACGCTTCTGTGCCTAACGAAATTACAACTTCAAACACATGTAAGGAAGTCCTAAATAAAAAAACATCAACAACCAGACTATAGAACATGTACGTGCATTTTTGGCAACGCCACGAACAATTTACTTTGTCTTCCAATGTTTTTATAGCTAGCATTTTGCAGATCACCTCATTTGAAAAAGAAAACCATTTGCGCTCAAAATGATAAAGAAATTGGAAATAGTAAATTTCGCTTGTGAAAGAATGTTGGGGCCATCTATCTTATAATATACATCTGCTGTTTATGTACGCATTTCGTTTCGGTTTCCACCTATCTCATGTATATCCATAATCTTTATTTGACAGAGACTCTGAAACACACTTTTGTTTCTAAAATGTTGTACTCGTAAATTGGCTCTCGTGAAAGTCATTTAAACCTTTGTTCCAGTTATAACTACTGACGTTTCATTAGTATTTGATATGCCTGTGTGGAACTGCCGCTGATGATGTTTGCTTTAAAGTTAAAAGTTTTTGTTTACAGTGACACACTTAGTTTGAGTACCGTGCCGTGTGGATATCGACACATTTTCTGGTCAGGCTATTTCATTGGTAAAGGTAAACGTGGACCCCCCTTCTCCCCCAAACAAAGATTTGGAACTGACTTGACCTAGTGTGCACATCTCAACGCCTTTTGGAAGGGGAGGCCACATATGTGCATGGTAGATCAAGTAAGTTCTGAATGGAATGGCTAAGGTTTACTCTTTACCGACATGGAGTTAAACTTGCTTTTACCACTGCATTTTTACCAGATAGTAAAGATATTTACCTTCTGAGTGCTATGATGGAACACTCCGTGTCAAACTCTTCTTCACTGGTTAGTCATAGCAGTATTATTCCAACCCTGCACGATATTCCGTTTCTTAACTGAAAAAAGAAGGCAAGGGAAAAATAGTTTTTCTGAATTTGCCATGTCCTCCATAAAAGTAAAAAGGTAGGAGACAGAGCCACTGATCTTATGACTTCGTTTGAAACGTGTCATTCAGTGACCAAAGAAAAGTTTAAATTGTATATGTCCATTACTTTAATTCAGAAAACAAACCAATTCCATTCGTTGATATTTACTAATGAACGAGCTCATTCAGCGAATGCTTTCTTTGATCAAGTAATGATCTCTGGTATGCTTAATTGTTTACCCATATATGTTATGCGCCATATAATATATAT